ACAACGTTGCTATTTCATGATATGGCCATATGACGATATCAGTAAAAAAATTTACCGCTAGCGGCGCTGATAGCATATTTTTACCCACCAGCATATTTTTAACCTGAACTTTTAACAGAATTGACTGCCTATGTATTGCTATAATAAATAAATGTTCGCTTCCATCGCTGTTATTACTAGATAGTATAGTTTTAGCTTTCATTATTTCATCTAATAATAGCCTTCTATATATATGTATTATATATATTATAGCCTTCCTATATATATATATATATATATATATATATATATATATATATAGGAAGGCTATAATAGGAGTACCTTCAGCTTTTTTAATTATTAATTTTGGTTAAAAAGCTGAAGGTACTCCGGGTTAACTCTGACATTGGGACGTTAACCACCTCAGTCCCCCGTCAACCATGGGTGCTGGAAAGCACCCGAAACGTTAGGAATTAATAAAAATAAGTAAATAAAACGCGATAAAATCCGTAAAAGAAGTTTTATTCAATGTGTAGTGTTCGCGTAAATATAATAAATCATCAATATGAATTATTAAGAATAACTCAAAAACTATTAGTCAGACCTTGATATAATTTTTGTGAGACCAGATGAGAGTTACCGGCTCTCAAATAAAAAAAGAATCGTCGAAATCGGTTTACCGAAAACAAAGTTATGAAGTAACACACATAAAAACACATACAGTCGAATTGAGTACCTCCTCCTGTTCGAAGTCGGTAGAAATTGTCATCCAGATTGACGGTGCATCACATCAACGATATGTTCTTTTACGCGGGTTTTTGGGAACTTTCATCCAAAGATGCGTAAAAAAACCCACGCAATAAAATTTTAAATTAAACGTGATAAAATCAGTAACATTAGTTTTATTCCATGTGTAGTATACCTCATTATAGAACGGCATTTTTGAAATTAAGTCTACTCGAACGTAAAAAAATATCTACATCTATTTTATGGTACCAATCATCAATATTAAATAAGACCAATGATATGAATAAAATATCTCAAATGAACATGATACCGTAAATTGAGAGAAGATCGTGAAATTCATTATTATTTTGTTAAAACTAAATTAACTTTAATTGTTATATTCACGTGTTCCTGTAGCATATTATATCTATGCCAAACACGAATCATCTTCGTATAATAGTCTTTTAGAATTCAAAAAAATATTGGACAGACATAGATGCACAGACACCGAGGTGACTCTAAAAGTGATTGAATTTCGCTGAATTTGGCACGGAATAGCATTGAATGATGTTCCTAAATTCTAGCTCACGCGAGCGAAGCCATGGATAAAAAGCTTATACATTAAATAAAACAATTTCACGGATTTTATCACGTTTAATTTACTTATAATAATTCCCGACGTTTCGGGAGCTTTACAGCAACCCATGGTCACGGGAGGACTGAGATGTTGGACGTCCTGATGTCACAGTTAGCCCGGCTTCCTTCAGTTTTTGAATATAAATTTTTGGTTCGATCTACGCAGAATGAACTTACAGTATCTTGAAGTTTTGCAGTGGTAAGCTTGGGTTTGGATTTAATTATATTAATTATACGATCCCAAGATGTTGGCAGCACCCATCCACTCATATTGAAATTAGGATGTTTTTTAATTTCAATAGCCTCGCGAATCATCCTTGGTAGGAATCAGTGTTCTTTTGCGAGAACCAGTGCTCTATCAAATCTGATGTAATGGCGGGGATGATCTTGAATATGCTCACAGACTGCAGACTTCCCAGAGCGTCGGTGCCTCATGTCAGCTATCAAGGGCGGATCCAGCTTTGGCGCCAGGAGGGGGTCACATAGTCGTGGTCAAGTCAAGAACTTATAATTTAATTTTGATAATAATAGATACAAGTAAAAAGTAGGTATTTTATTAATGTACGTAAGCACTGTACTTAGAAATATTTATTCTTTATTGTACACTTGAAACACTTAACACATAATAACTTGTACATATACACGTACATATTGCCATCTTCTCTTGAAGACATCCAGAGAAGCACTATCACGCACGGAATGAGGCAGCCTATTTATATTCCATAACCGTGGTGAATGATTTGTCATAACAGCTAGAGGTATGTCGAGGGGTATGACGCAAAACTCCGCAAAAGTAAAGAGGTGGTACGACAAGGGTTTCCAACAACCAAAATAGAAACAGACAAAATACATATATTTAAATAACAATATCAATTATTCTTTTACGTCTTCTCCCGAAACGCGTTATTACGTCATTTACGTCAATGGGTACGGTTTATTGAACGTGGAGAAGTGCCAGTCCGGTTAGGCGATCTTCAACCATTGAAGATCTTAGCCACGATTTAACTCTGCGCAACGTAGAGAAAGGCCTTTCTGCTGCCGCTACACTGACAGGTAGTGTAGCCATAATACATAATTTTTTTTATATTAGGATACATATCGAAGTCACAGTTTAAAATAAGATCATAAATCGACTGCGGTATATCCTGGCTCCGCATTTACAATGACAGAAACTGGAGTGTTATCTAGTAATAATGTATAGTCGGTAGCTAGTTGTTTCACAGTTTCAATGTCTTCATTACTATATTCGCTTTTTGGTATGAAAACGCTTAGCTGAAACAAATTAAGTACATCAGGAGACAGGCGGTCCTGGAGATCACTTATTATTGAATCTAGAAGAGGGATGTATATAGCTCTGCGGAAATACTCTTCAGCAGATTGAGCAGGTTGGTTATTGGCCCAATGTATTTGTTTTGATACTATTCTGGGGCATTTAATTTCTACATCTAGCTGCTCAGCTACTTCTTCAGCCTCTTCAAAAAGCTGTCGGTAGATTACGTCCACATTTTCTCTTTTATTTTGTAAAACACTTAAAGTATCATTAATAGCGTCCGTAGCTTTTTTTAAATCAATTGAGTTCGATTGCAGTATTCTGCTTAAAGATACAGTAGTACCTGAAAAATAAAAAGTAAGTGACTGTGACTGTAGTGCATAAACTAAGAATTTATAACTTAATATATATATATATATATATATATATATATATATATATAACGCAATACTTTGCATCATAGTTTTCGCTAGGTGCTTTTAAAAATTTTAAGCAAGATTATAAGTTTATGCATGCTATATTCATTCTGTTGGTTGCTCTCTTATTTTATTTTTAAAGAGAATTAAAATCAGTGTGGTCACGACGATACACTTGATTTCATTGTGTGAATTTATCTAAGATTTTAGGTTAGGTCAGTAAGCTTGATGCTCTTCAATCTCCCTCGTCCAAAAAAATATATACCTATAGGTAGATACATAAGTCACGCAGCACTCTTTCAGTAAGTAGGTACCTACATATCTACCTATGAGGTACTTTATGAACATTAACAACAATAACATTTAAGTTAAAACACACGCACTGGAATAATGAGAAACTGATTACTTACCATTTCTTGTAATTAATGAATTTGCAGCAACAATTTTTAAGAATATTTATAAAGGTACACTTACAAACACATTATAGGTAGAAAGAAATTTTAGTTTTTTAGCTTAGAACTATGTTATGATATGTTGAAGTTTAGTCGTTTCAATTCCGATTGAGGTTAGGTCTAGCTAGACGTTACGTAGTCGACAAGCGCGCGCAAGTATGGCGCAGTAAAATTCAAATTTTCGATGCGTTTGTTCCCAAACGTTTGCAATCATACAAAGTTATTATATTATATTAAATTAATTAAATATTGAAGGTATGTAGTTACTTAAAATCTGTATGGTGGCAAAATATATAAATAAAATTATTATGTTCAATTAGTGGTCCACCTAAGTCCTGGAACCAGCTCAGCTCATGACACCCATGACCCCCCCTTGGATCCTTGGATCCTCCTACGCAGAATGCGTACTATGGCGCGAAATAAAGTCCCAGATTCGAAGCTACACCTAATGTGGGTAAACCACGTACCCCCACATGTTCGATCGGTACTAGCAGTGAGTGAAACATTCAGCACGCAGACGAAGCTCGACGAACTGGCACTCCTGGCGGACAAGATGATCGAAAACAGCAGTAGCTCACACATATCGATGATCGAAGGCAATTGAACCAAGGCCAATGATACCCAGTTTCTTCTCGAAGAAATTCGGAAGCTATCATTCGAATTAGCCGCGCTCAAAGCTTCCCAGCATCAAACCTGTTACCAGCAACAGTACAACCAGCGCTATCAGCAACACCGAAGATCACCTTTCCGTCGCAACCTCTCTGCAAGTAGAAGTCGAACAAGCTCAAGAACAAGATCCCCTTTTCCTTCCTACGGCTATGGATCCCCTTACTGCTACTATCATCAACGTTTCCTTTAAGAGGCAAGAAAATGCACAACACTATGTACATTCAAAAATTAAAATATGAAGTCGGAAAACTAACTAATACGCTTGATGCGACGGGATCCGGCGTAACAGAAAACTCCTACCGTCTTTTCGTCACCGATAAAAAAAGCAAGCTTACCTTCCTTATCGACACCGGAGCGAATATCTCAGTTTTACCGCCGAGACAAAGACAGTAGATGAAGCCACTGGATTTTCAACTGTACGCAGCAAACAATACGTTGATTCCCACATATGAAGAGAAAACAATGGAACTGGATTTAAACCTACGCCGACCATTCAAATGGAGATTTATCGTCGCTAAAGTCTACAAACCAATCATCGGTGCTGATTTTTTTCAATATCACCAGTTGATCGTCGACATCAAAAATAGAAGAATCATCGACGGGAAAACCAATCTTGCATCTCAGTATTTTGTCCAAACAACCAATCTACCCACAATAAGAAGCATAGATGTTCAACAATCGTATCACAAGATCCATGAAGAATATCCTGGAATCACAAGAATAACTTCAATGAAATTAATACCGAAGCACGACGTTGGGCATTTCATCGAAACCAATGGATCACCACTTCATTGACGTGCACGTCCAATCGCACCAAACCGGTACGAGCAAGTTCGAAAGGAATTCGAAAAGATGATCGTGCAAGGAATATGCCGTCCAAGCAAAAGCCCTTGGTCATCACCACTTCACGTTGTACCGAAGAAGAATGGAGAATTACGAGTTTGTGGAGATTACAGAAGACTGAATTCTATTACCACTCCTGACCACTATCCAATACCGCGAGTCAAGGATTTTTTCACTCATCAACTGTCAGACGAGACTATATTATCCGCCATCGATCTCAACCGATCTTACCAACAAATAAAAACAGCAATAATTACTCCAATGGGATTATTTGAATTTCCAAGAATGACTCCAGGACTGAAGAACGCTGGTTAAACCTTTCAAAGATTCATACACGAAGTACTTCATGGACTGGATTTCGTTTTCGCATTCATTGATGACCTCATTGTTGCATGCCTTGATAAAGATACGCACGAAACCCATCTACGCACCATGCTGCATCGATTAGAAGACAATGGAGTCACAATCAATCCTTTGAAATGCATATTTGGACAACAAGAATTTCAATTTCTTGGTTTCACCGTCAGCAAGGAAGGAATCAATCCGCCTACTGAAAAAGTCAGAGCAATCATCGATTATGCGAATACTAAAACAATCGAAGAACTAAGGCGATTTCTTGGGATGATAAATTTCTACAGAGAACACATACCTCAGCCGCTGAAATCCAACCACCACTTAACGCCTACCTTCACAATACGAAGAAAAAAGATAAAATATCAATCCGATGGAACGATGAAGCCACGAAGGCATTTGAAGCTTGTAAAGCTGCGATCCAAAATGCAGCTTTGCTCTTTAACACATCACACGAAGCAACCCTTGCTATCTTCAGCGACGCGTCCGATTTCTCAGCAGGAGCTGTACTCCAGCAATACATCAATGCGAAATGGCAACCACTTGGTTATTTTTCGAAGAAATTCTCCGATACTCAACGTAACTACAGTACATTCGACCGAGAGCTACTCGCTATCTACATGGCTATCAAGCACTTCAAAAAAAGTTCGAGGGTCCAAACCCGATCGTTTTTACCGACCACAAGCCATTAACATACGTAATTCAGAAGAAACCATCACCATCGGAAACACCGAGCAAGACAACTCATCTTCAAAAGCGAATTCACGACCGATATACGTCACATCAGTGGGAAGGACAACATAGTCGCCGACGCACTCAGTCGCATACCAATCGACAGTGTAACGTGCCCTACATCAATAGACTATCACAAGATCACCGAAGCACAAGACAGAGATAGCGACAACATCAAACATCTATCGAAGCAAAGTAACTTGTCCATCAAGCAAGTTACAATGCCAATAACGCATCTACCTATCTACTCTGCAGCCTCAACGTCAACCATGCGACCATACCTACCAGAAGAATGTCGTCGCGAAGTCTTCAATGCACTGCACAACATCAGTCATCCAGGTGTTAGAGCAACAAGAAAAGTCATCACTGGAAAATTCTTTTGGCCTTCAATACAAGTGGATGTTGGCAACTGGGCGAAGCAATGCATTAAATGTCAAAAATGCAAAGTACAAAGGCATACATCAAGCAGCCTAGATTCATTTCCACCTACGGAGAAATTCGAACACCTGCACGTTGCATCGTTGGACCATTACCTACTTCACCGCAAGGACATCGTTACCTCGTAACAATGATCGATAGAACAACAAGATGGCCAGAAGCAATACCTACCGATGATACTTCAGCTGAATCCGTCGCGAGGATAATTTATGAAAATTGGATTACTCGTTTCGTATCACCTAAAACCATCACAACGGATCAAGGAAGAAACTTCGAAAGCAACCTATTTCTCAAACTTCTTCAAACTATGGGAATACAGAAGACACGTACAACGGCATACCATCCTCAATCAAACGGAATAGTCGAACGATGGCATCGTATATTGAAGACCGCACTCAAAACTCGTTTATCTCAACATACAAAGTCGATTGATGAGCTACCTACAGTGCTACTTGGACTACGAGCAACACCGCGTGCAGACACTAGTCTTAGTGCCACTCAGCTAACCTACGGCTGCAGCATAAGACTACCGTGTGACTTCTTCACTGCAACATCGTCAAAAAATCAAGAAATGAATAAAGATGTTGTAACTCAACTTCGAGAATCAATCAACAAAGTCTTATCGTCAAAACGCACATCATCACACGGAAATTATAAATCAGTATTCATTCATCAAGATTTGAAAACATGCAAGCAAGTTTTTGTAAGAAACGACGCAGTGAAGAAACAATTTCAACCTACCTACGATGGACCTACCCGGAAGGAAATCTACAATTATATCGATGGACCGACTAAAGCCTGCTTATATTATCAACGAGGATTCACCATTATCATCATCATCATCATCATCTCAACCACCAGCGAGGAAGCTTGTAAACCCATCATCTACATCAACCCAGATGAAAGCTATTTTAAAATTACGAGACATGGGCGAGTCGTCAAGCCTCCGGTACGCTTTCGCTAGGGGGAGAGTGATGTAGCAGCCAGGCTAATCGACCCTAAACGGTACTAAATAATGTATACCCTGTTACTACCATAACGCAGAAGGCGAAGGTCTGAAGAAAATATTTATTTCCTAATTACCCCCGGCTACTGAGATACTGCGGGCTGCATATCGATGCGAGATAATTTGACGTATATATTTAACGTTCTAATATAAAAACAAGAAACAGCCGCAAATATCATCAGCACCGCATCGTTTTCACATGCCGGCTATCTTCATGGATCCGTCGACCATTTACGAGCCTTTCTTCAACGCCACAAATTCGCTTCTTCTTGCTGTTCCGGAGATGTGTCCTACGCCGCCGCCGCGCACCGATTGCGCGTGTGCGCCGGTCTGCACCACTTTTATAAACCCGTCCGGCAACGCAGCTACGAGAAGCTATCTACAAGTCTGCTCAATCTTACGCCGGCAAATGGAGCGCGACATATAATTGTTGTACATAATATTTTATTGATTAATCTTTATTGGTCAAAATGTATGTATTGTAATTGGCTAAGTAAATAAAATTATTACTATTGGTTAACTAAGTATGTAGTCGAGCATATAAATATAGGCAGGGTTGACTGAATAAAACACACCATTCGCCTGCACATAGTAAGGCATATCAGAAAATAGTTTCATTTCTCCGCCACTAGACCACTCGGAGTCTGTTAGTATTGGACCCCATACACCACTATTACAAGCCTATTCACTCTTGCCTTGAAGACACCCACATTATTCTCGGATAGAAACACAGATGCTGGCAACAAATTCACCTCCTTTGCTGTACGCATAATGAACGGTTTAATGAACGGAAACAATATTATTTAACTTACTTACCCATCCCCATATGTCAAAGTTATGTTAACTTCTGTTGTTTTGGATCAGATAAACTAAAAAAGTATCAATTTTATGACAAAAATGTTGCATACATCCACTTAAAATTGCAATTAACAATTTCAGTAGTGCCGGTGGGGATAAAACACGGTTTACTCGCATACTAGACTTATCGACGACGTTATCTGCTTTTAACAGCAAACCGTTTCGTTCGAATGCGTGGTTAGTCAACAACGAAGTGGTGGAGACTGGTCTAACGTCTGGTTGTCCCATGGTGGAAGGGAGAGGGAGGAATTAAATTATGCAATTCCTACGCACACTCTCGAAATGCATCCTATAGAAAACCGAAAGGGTGGTTACTTTGCGCCTGTGCTCGAGACTGGTAAGATTGGTTTTAATCAAATTCGGGTCACCAATAAGCCTTTTAGCACGTCTTTCCATTCAAAGCTGCTAGGTGGCATTTTGCAGCACCAGCCCATATATGGCAGCAATACTCCATGCACGACCGGACTTGCGCTTCATATAAAGTAAACAGCTGTCTCGGCGTGAAGTATCGCCGCACCTTTGCAAGGACTCCAAGCTTCCTTGCAGCTGATTTGGCCTTGGATTCAATGAACCTCCCGAAGTTCATATTTGAGGATATCTCGACCCCCAACAACTGATGGCGATCTGTGTACTCCAGTGATACATTTCGGAAAGAAGAAGCCAAGGTGAGCTGGCTCTTTTTTGCAGTGAAGAGACACGCTTGGCGTTGAATTTCACAAGATTGGCATCGCCCCATTCGGAGACTACCGGTAGTGTGAGAGTCACGCGCCCTACCATAGTTTCTCTTTCGGACTGGATTTGAGCACACAACTGTGCTATCGTCTGCATACCCATAGATACCGGGCATAAGCAGATCATTTATATGCATTAGGAAGAGAGTTGCGGAGAAAACGAACCCATGAGGAACACCCGCGTTAGTCGCAACAGGATCGGATGAGCAGCCGTCGACGACGATCCGGAGAGACCGTTCACTCAGAAAGTTCTTTACCCAGTCAATCAGATCAGGGGATAAGTCGTACGCTAGAAGCTTACACAAAAGGCTAAAAATGTGAGTAATGTTTAGTTGTTACTAAGATGTTTTTAAAAGTATAGATACGTCATATTCGCTCTAAAACGGCAATACGAAAGTCAGGTAATTGCACGACTCGCATTCAGTCCGGCACGCTTTCGCGTCGCGGCTATACCTTCGCTACAGTGCGTAAATCTTTTAGTTATTCGTGGCAAAAATGCCTTCCTGTGTTGAATATAGATGTTTTGTTCATAATTGATTTTATTATTTCAACACTAACCGCCAGCGTTCTTCTAGCTAGTGTGTTCATTTTCCATATCGGTATGTCACGCGCTCGCACCAATGAGCGCCCGGCAGCAATTGATACGCAACTAATGATGTATATTCGTCTTTTTCTAACAATAGGTATGCCCTATCATTTGTCTCTTTTTGTTAGCGCAACGTGTCATAATAAATAACTGTACGTAGATATAGTACTACTTGTGCCATTTTAAAATACAATAATGTTAATGTGTAACCTGTCTATCTTTTTTAATACGTCTTTGAGTTGTTATGTCTAGCACCATCCACGCGGGCCGACTTCCGAATAAAGGAGAGTTTATGCGGCATCCAACGCAAAACTACCCTCCTCTCACGAAGGAGTTTGAACTTGTGAACACTTTTCGGACCTATGAGAAATATGTGCTGAATCTCATAATACATAATTAATCTATTCTCTTCAATTATATTTTTCACCACAAGCACGATTCCTTTCGTAATAGCCGTCAAATGGCTGGTTTTTTATTCAACGCTCAAAATCAGCGAACCGTAGTAAAATTTGATAATACTATCAGCACAAGGTTGCATTAGAAAGGGTGCCATAGATATCATTTGAAATCAATCAAACGACTTGTCCGGTTTTTGCTGAATCTTAAAAAATTAAAATACGTAAAAATGTTTCCGGCGCACAACCATTTTTCAATTAAACATGATATTTCAATTGAGCTCATAAAAATTTAAAATGTAGAGGCAATTTATAAATTAGAACATTTGTATCTTTACTTCTATGTAATCATATTTTCGAATTAAACTGGCCAGTGTTTCATGCAAAAAAAATATTTTCGCAAAACTTTCTGAGTAGCCTGTCCTAATCTTTGTATTTATCCAGTAATGTCTGAAGACTGGTAAGGCCGCCTACTAACAACGAAGTGACAAAAAGTTCCTTTATTTTGGATGGTTATGGTATATATATATTTATATTTTATTTATATTTGTATTTATATTTTTCTGTACTACCAACACTTAGTAAGATTTTTGAAAAAATTGTTCTTGATCAAATGTTAAATTTTTTTAATATAAATAATTTACTTCATAAAAATCAATTTGGTTTCACAAGGGGTCGCTCGACAACTGATGCCGGTGTTGAGCTGATTAAATATATCTTTAATGCATGGGAGAATTCACAGGATGCTTTGGGTATATTTTGTGACCTATCCAAGGCCTTCGATTGTGTTCACCATGAAACATTAATCAGGAAACTTCAACACTACGGTGTAAGAAGAGATGCCCTTAAATTAATAATTTCATATTTAAGTAAGAGAACGCAAAAAGTTGTCATTAACAATGTGAGCTCTTCCGGATCGATGGTACAAATGGGCGTGCCTCAAGGCTCAATTCTCGGCCCCTTTCTGTTTCTTGTATACATTAATGACTTACCTTACATAGTAGGGGATAACCATGATATAGTATTATTTGACAGTCGTAATAACGCATGCGATATTATTAACCTCTATATCGAAGCTTCTGGTTGGGTCTTAATTCTGGCACCTGGGATCAAGCTCCAGTCTGAACTGAAATAATTCAGATATCTTTTCTCTTTTAAGATCATTATAATATATATTACATATATACAGGATGGCCAAAAAGTCGTGGATCAAATGCAACTAGGGGTTAGATGAGGTCATCAGCTGCAAAAAATTGTTCTACGGGGGGTCCTTAAGGTCAACCCCTCCAGAGTTATAATTTATTTTGTGTTTTTATGAGAAAATTGACTTTTTTTACTAATTCTTACTAAAATTCGAAAAAATTTACACCTGTATCTTTTTATAATTTTCTATAGATTGGTACAGGTGAGTCCTTGCGTTAGACATACTATTTATGGTTGTTTATCGGGTGTGTTAAAGAAAATATTAAGTTTTATGAATTCTTTTTTCTCAAATCATAACTTTTGTATTTACTTCGGAACCCACTGTGTAAAAAAAATACTCTACCGAAAAGTGACCCTGTATTACAAGTTTTGGCGCATTTAATAGGGATTCTGAAAAGGTATTACACATGGCCATGAGTGGCTCTAATATCGGTTTAGGACGAAAAAACAAAACAACGGTTGTGAAAGAATTGTTTTAATAAAACAAAACATTTTACAATAAATGCTCAAAACTCCTACCTCTGACCATAATACATAATCTGCACCGACTAATAAAATTCCTACGTAACCTACGGAATGCACCTCTGTTGTTAATAACTTGCACCCTAGCAAATTCGAACTTTTGTCGTAATTCTTGTTCGCTATTGTTCCCTCCTTGATAATTTACTTCGAACCCCACTGTGGAAAAAGAGGACTCTACCGAAAAGTGAGCCTGTATTACAAATTTTGTCGCATTTAATTGGGATTCTGAAAAGTTATTACACATGGCTATGCATGGCTTTGATATCTTTCGAGGACGATAATTCGTAGCAAGGCCAAAATAAGTCCAACCGTAAGTCTCGGTTAGGCCTATTAAAAATAAACATGAACTACAATTAATAACAAAAGCTCTCTCTTTCACACTAACCATTTCATCCTTTGTCAATAAAAGCCAGTTCGCCCGTCAGTTCAGGTAGCAATATCTTTTCTAGGAAACAAAAGGCCGGGCCGGCCGGGGTGGGGGCCGGGGGATGCGCGTGAGCATCTTTCTTTAGAATGTTTAGTGTTCTTTAGTGACTCGCTTCCTGCCTGTGACTACGCACCTGTTCTTTTTCTCGGTTTTACGACGACTTGTGATCAGTTTCTTTCCTTTGACCTACGCTTTGTTTTTTGGACTTGTGATAGATTGCCTACCTATATCCAGTGCTGTGTGAATCGGACTAGATTCGGAATCGGACAGATTGGCTACAAAAGTGGACAGATGGCTGCTGCAAGGAGAGAATACACCCAACGGGAGTATGCAGAAATGCATTATCTGTATGGCTTTTGCGACGGCAATGCTCGGGCTGCTGCCAGGGAATATCGTCAACGCTACCCTAGCCGTGATCGTTTTTCAGACTACAGGGTCTTTATGCGCGTACATAATTCGTACACGGAGGGAGTCTTACCCGGTCAGCACGCTCCGAGAGCAGGCAGACCAGCGGTGCGATTTGAAAATGGAAATGAAGTGCTGAGAGAATTAAGATTGGATCCTGGTATAAGTCAACGCCAAATATCCCGTAATCTCGGGATTACAAGGTCGACGGTGCAACAAATCATTAAAAGAAAGAAATATGACGCCTACCACGTGCAAAGGGTGCAAGCTTTGGCGCCTGGTGACTATGAACCTAGAGTGAGGTTTTGCAGAGAGATGCTAAGATATCACAGAGAGGATCCGCAGTTCTTCAACAAGGTATTATGGACGGATGAATCAAATTTTAGAAGAATGGGAGTATTTAATATCCACAACCTACATTTTTACTCCAGAGTGAACCCCCATATCATAAGAAATGATCGATTCCAGCATTTGTTTGGTATAAACATGTGGGCTGGTATAATTGGCCAGCAGTTGGTGCTGCATGAAATGCCAGCAAGGCTGAATGGTGCTCTGTATTTAAATTTTTTACAAAATAATTTAAACCGTAGCAAGGCCAAAATAAGTCCAACCGTAAGTCTCGGTTAGGCCTATTAAAAATAAACATGAACTACAATTAATAACAAAAGCTCTCTCTTTCACACTAACCATTTCATCCTTTGTCAATAAAAGCCAGTTCGCCCGTCAGTTCAGGTAGCAATATCTTTTCTAGGAAACAAAAGGCCGGGCCGGCCAGGGTGGGGGCCGGGGGATGCGCGTGAGCATCTTTATTTAGAATGTTTAGTGTTCTTTAGTGACTCGCTTCCTGTTTGTGACTACGCACCTGTTCTTTTTCTCGGTTTTACGACGACTTGTGATCAGTTTCTTTCCTTTGACCTACGCTTTGTTTTTTGGACTTGTGATAGATTGCCTACCAATATCCAGTGCTGTGTGAATCGGACTAGATTCGGAATCGGACAGATTGGCTACAAAAGTGGACAGATGGCTGCTGCAAGGAGAGAATACACCCAACGGGAGTATGCAGAAATGCATTATCTGTATGGCTTTTGCGACGGCAATGCTCGGGCTGCTGCCAGGGAATATCGTCAACGCTACCCTAGCCGTGATCGTTTTTCAGACTACAGGGTCTTTATGCGCGTACATAATTCGTACACGGAGGGAGTCTTACCCGGTCAGCACGCTCCGAGAGCAGGCAGACCAGCGGTGCGATTTGAAAATGGAAATGAAGTGCTGAGAGAATTAAGATTGGATCCTGGTATAAGTCAACGCCAAATATCCCGTAATCTCGGGATTACAAGGTCGACGGTGCAACAAATCATTAAAAGAAAGAAATATCACGCCTACCACGTGCAAAGGGTGCAAGCTTTGGCGCCTGGTGACTATGAACCTAGAGTGAGGTTTTGCAGAGAGATGCTAAGATATCACAGAGAGGATCCGCAGTTCTTCAACAAGGTATTATGGACGGATGAATCAAATTTTAGAAGAATGGGAGTATTTAATATCCACAACCTACATTTTTACTCCAGAGTGAACCCCCATATCATAAGAAATGATCGATTCCAGCATCTGTTTGGTATAAACATGTGGGCTGGTATAATTGGCCAGCAGTTGGTGCTGCATGAAATGCCAGCAAGGCTGAATGGTGCTCTGTATTTAAATTTTTTACAAAATAATTTAAACCGAATTCTTAACGAAGCTGAGGTTCCAGAAGCAAGAATAGCAGAAATGTGGCTGCAACACGACGGCGCCCCGCCTCACTACGCTCGAGCAGTTCGAGATCATTTGAACGAGCGCTTCCCCAACCGGTGGATTGGTCGAGGCGGACCTATTGCGTGGCCACCCCGGTCGCCCGATTTAAATCCATTAGATTTTTTTCTTTGGGGCTATTTTAAAGAAATAGTTTATCAAGGAGAGAACAATAGCGAACAAGAGTTACGACAAAAGCTCGAATTTGCTAGGGTGCAAGTTATTAACAACAGAGGTGCATTCCGTAGGTTACGTAGGAATTTTATTAGACGGTGCAGATTATGTGTTATGGTCAGAGGTAGGAATTTTGAGCATTTATTGTAAAATGTTTTCTTTTATTAAAACAATTCTTTCACAACCGTTGTTTTGTTTTTTCGTCCTAAACCGATATTAGAGCCACTCATGGCCATGTGTAATACCTTTTCAGAATCCCTATTAAATGCGCCAAAACTTGCAATACAGGGTCACTTTTCGGTAGAGTATTTTTTTTTACACAGTGGGTTCCGAAGTAAATACAAAAGTTATGATTTGAGAAAAAAGAATTCATAAAACTTAATATTTTCTTTAACACACCCGATAAACAACCATAAATAGTATGTCTAACGCAAGGACTCACCTGTACCAATCTATTGAAAATTATAAAAAAGATACAGGTGTAAATTTTTTCGAATTTTAGTAAGAATTAGTAAAAAAAGTAAATTTTCTGATAAAAACACAAAATAAATTATAACTCTGCAGGGGTTGACCTTAAGGACCCCCCGTAGAACAATTTTTTGCAGCTGATGACCTCATCTAACCCCTAGTTGCGTTTGATCCACGACTTTTTGGCCACCCTGTATATTTTAAACAAGGAAGAGATGCGTTGTCACCTCAAGACTGAGATAGAATTCTTATCAGTCAACAATTATGCACACAAAGCTGCTTGGCGGTAGAGATAGGCTAAAGGTGCCTACCCAGACGGGCTCCTGGGCAAAGAGGACTCCTACCACCGAGAAAAATATTAGGGTAACCACTTTGTAACATATAGTAACATAGATACTTCTATGTTACGGTAATGTAGAAGTAATGCAAAGGTAACGAATAATATTGTAAGGCTGATTTCATAATGCGCTATATTTAGAGTGAAAATAATAATTTTCATGAAATCGTCGTCGTCGTCTTCGATCATCGAAATCTCATATTATTATTTTTTTTTGCTTGAAGAATCAATTTTATAGGTGCCGGTGGGGATCGCATTTTTGTCATAGTTGCTACGTTTGCCGTGTGCTTTGGCTACTACAGTTTCATTGAGGATACTGCTGCCCATGTCCTATTTCATTTCCGTCTGTAGCGTCTTACGAAATATAATGGGTTTGTGGATACGCTGCCACTATAAAACTGGCTCAGCTCTAATAAACAGGACTACGTAATTGTTGTTGACGATTCTAAAGTAAAAAATAAATAAAAACTGTGACTCATGCCAGAAGCTAGGAATACTAAAGAAACTACACAATATCTTTATTGTGGAATTCATTTAAATACAAAAAAGAGGTATTATTACGGAATAAAGTTAACGATGTTCCAGATAAATGAATCACTGGGATAATTTACATAGAATAACTGCGACTGGAATGTTAATTAATTATGACTCTTATGTTAGGTAGAAAATGATTCATTTTTGTATTTAAATTGCAACACATTTGAAATAAATGTGTCCACGTAAGTACTCAGTCCATAATCACTTAGAATTTTTTTTGAGGTTTAGAGGGACTCATATCAGGGACTACATCAGGCTCAATCTAACTTTTTTATGAAATAGGAGGTAAACATGCATATAGCTTGTACACGCCTAGTTGCCCAGACTAAGTTCGACTATACAGGGGCCCATACAGCTGTAGATTCGACGGACAACTAAGTGTGGGGCTCAAATGCCTATGGATATTTAATATATATATAGATTAGGTACTTAATGCGACTTACCTGGTTCAGAGGCGAAGAAAGACCACAAGGTTCGTTCAGGCGTTAAGTGTAGTGAATGTAAGTGGTGTGTGAGAAGTGTATATATATTTAACCTGAATTAGCTCTTTTTAATCAGCAGCAACCCTGACTCCAGCACCGCCACCCTATGTGGTATCATTCCAGCGGCGTCAATCGGTGTCACTCAAAGTCTAGCGTCCATTAGCACAAATCTATAATCTAATACGAACGCTGGTTCTCGCGGGTCAAAAAGTTTAGCGGTTTTAAGCGACACAGGAAAATATCTACTAGTTAAATCAAATGACACAAAGCAACTCCTTAACGTGAATTAATATTGTCAGAAAGCACTTATGCATGCAACCACTATACCACTTGACACTAATTAATTGTAACGACGTTAATTAATCGCTCAAACTCAAAATTCAGCCTCGTTGACACGTAAAACAAACAAAAAAACAACGCAAAAATGAGAGGCACTTAAATCGACGTTATAATTTCACACGCGTCCTTTACAATCGGCAGTTCCTCACAATGATTCTCTCTTCAATTCACTATGTCAGTCTAGCAGCTTTATTGTACATTTAACTAACTTCAAAACTCAACAAAATCCCGTTAATTATAATCAAAAACGTAACACGCGGCACGACTGATGACCGGTAGGTCAAAGTTCACTTCCGTTCACTCGGCAACAAATTATTTCGAGAACCGAAAGCGACCTTCGAAGGCAGTGATCACGCGGCCCGAGTAGGCGCACTGCAATACTCATCCGAGGCGGTCTTCCCGAAACACAATTTAAGTAGCGAAGTAACACGCACAAATACTGAAAATCTAGACCATAAAACCAAAACTTGTCGCACGAAATCGCTGCTACGGTCACCACAAATACGTTACGTTGCGACGGCACGGCTGCACTCGAGCTACTGTTTTCGCCCACAAGCGCCATAATGCCGGGAAGCTGCATACCGATGCCCCCTCCCCGCTACGCGCGTGACACCTAACACCATCGGGTGATTCGTTAAGTCGAAGGCGATTGGATGCCGTCTCAAATGACCATTTTTGGGCCTAAACATAGCTCACCTGATGATTAGTGATCACCGTCGCTCATGAACACACCAGAAGAATCAAAGGGGCATCACCATCGTTTAGAAAGGAGCATACTCTTTTCTATAAGGTTACCAAGTCGTATCTGTCGGGAAAAACGACCGGCGACAGTAAATTTCACAGTGCGGTCGTACGTGGTTCTAAATGAAAATTTCGCGTAAAAGGCACATAGAACCGCCAACCATCGAGATGATGAGCATGGATTTTCATGTTCTGTCGCAGTATACAATGGTGAAATTCTGGGGTGCTCCGGCCCAGAGATGAGAACAATATTACATATGAGGCCGAACCTGCACTTTGCACTGTATCGCACAAGCAGTGGGCCGGCATGAAATATGGTCTCGAACTACTGTGCACACCAAGCTTTTTAAATGCCAGTTCAGCCTTCCCTTTCATAACTGCGGAACTGTACGTCTCTCGAAATGTTGACGCGAAGCATTCCGATTGAATTTGCATAGAGATGAACATAGTTTTTTATGAGGAACCAATTTCTTGAGTTTTTTATTTCACAAATTTGGTACAAATAAGTCACTATTGTGGGTAAACTAACGTCAAGCCATGTCGTTACTTCCTTGGTTGTTTAAAAATGGTCGACTTCGATACATAACTTTTTTATAGAATAAGGGTGACAAGCGAATACACAGATCACGTGATAGGAAGTGAATGCTGTGGCGTATATTGTACATCTATCTCTATCTTCGATTAAAATGCTGATGCGTTGTCACCCCTAAGGAATAAGATGGAATACCTCGTTTCCTGTAAATAGGTTCTCCGGTTCTTTGCACTCATCGTAGGTGACACACCAACATTAAGCTATTAATGCGTACAGCCGTGGCTCGGCAAATTTGAGATAGAAACTGAAGGGATAGTGTATCGAGCTCGGATGCACTTGAAAATATTTGACGATGCCGAACTACAAACGACTACGGCGTGAGGCTATTCCCTCTTCGAATGAACCCGCTATGACTGGAAATGCGTTTCCGCAAGCTACTACTGTGGATGCTGCCTAGATCTTTGTTCTGATTAATTCAGACGATGATGAAATATTCGCCCAGAATCAAGAGCAAATGTGGAGCACATTGGAAGAGGCGATTATGGAAACGCGCAGTACACTTCACGAGAATCGACTGCTACTTCCGCGCCTAAACAACCAGAATTGCCAGCATTAGGGCTCTAAGCCCAATGCTGGTGACTATTTGGAAGCCAGCCGGAACCTTTGTGAGACGGATTCAATTCTTTTTAGCACCACACTGGCAGTATGAAAGATGTCAGTTTGTCCAATCCCGATATAACGCAAAAACTGACGGAACGCATAGACGAATGAAGCAAAGAATCACTGCTTGAGGGAAGCGGTGATATACCGAGAGAACTATGTTCGTACACATGGTTAAACCAGAATCATCTCTTCCAGAGTGATCAGAAGAGGCTCTATAAATCATTGGAGCGACTAATGGTACGACGACGAATAGAAGAGGCCCAGCACCGAATCAGGCCGTCACTGTCGCATTCCAGCGCTGTGGTCAGGGCCAGTAAGCCACAGTGAAGGTCCTTGGACGGGAGTTGTAGCGAGTCAGTGTGTAAATGTTACGCCGATAGACTCTGTCATCATAACGCCGGACAACGTAGCAGAGTCGAACCGAAGGGTCAAGAACTGGAAAAGTCCGGGACTCGACGGGCTGCATCATTACTGGCTAAAGGGGTTCGTGTGTCTCACGCTGTGCTCGTCCGATAGTTTGAAGAGACTCTCGACCAGAAATCGAAGTCAAATTCACAATTGGGATTACTCATTTGGTTTCTAAAGACTACTACAGACCTGAGCAAATATCGCCCCATATACAAGACACTAACATCTATTTTGAGCGCGAGAATCACTCGTCACCGGGACTCAAATCAGATGATGTCGCGCTCTCAGAATGGAAGTCAGTGCAGTGGTCGTGGAACTAAGGAACCACTCCTCATTTACGTGTTCATTGGCAAGGTGGTTAAACGCAGTCGTCGGAACTCCGCCGCCTGGATAGACTACATAATGGCATTCGATTCTATGTCTCATACATGACTAAGGAAGGTCCTCGAGCTGTACAAGGTTGACCGTACAGTTAGTGACTTCTTCGGGCAATGTATGGTGTAGTGGAGTAGGATTCTTTGTCATTTAGGCTAGCGGATGGCAGTTGCAGAGAACCGCAAAACGATAAGAAGGGGTATCTTCCAGGGCGATTGTTTGAGTCTAATCTGGTTTTGCCTTTCTCTAAACCCTCTCAGTACCTTAC